TTTGCTTGAGGACTCCTTCAAGTAATCCCTTCCCTTTTACATATGATGCTACTTAAAGACTGAACTATCAAAGTCTTCTGTTTGCCTAGTTAAAACCAGATCTATTCTTAAAGAAACTTTAGCACAGAAAGTTAGAAAGATAGACTCACTCCACTAGACAGCACAACAAAATGAAATAAAAACAAGAAAGCCTTTTCTCATTGCTCTGTGGTCATAACAAAGTAACTGAAAATCCTCTGTTCCTTCCTCACAGAGGATCATTAAGCTATCATAATATACTTGTGAAGGAGCTTTGAAAAATAAAGTCATGTCATATATGGTATTATTACTCAACATTTTTTATATATTGTTAATGATCCAGGAAAATTAATCCACAAGCATTTGTTAGGTAGCTATTTTTTGTGCTTTCTTAGCCCTGTGTTAGTCACTGTGCGAAACCAAACATCATCCTTAAGAGGTTTACAATATAGCTGTCTTAGTTTGGGATGCTATATCAAAGTACTATAGGCTGGGTGGCTTATAAACCACACACACTCATTTCTCACAGTTCTGGAGGCTAAAAGTCCAAGATCAGGGTACTAGCATGGTCACCTGCTGGCGAAGGTTGCAAATGGCGGACTTCTTGCTTCGTCCTCACATGGCAGAAGTGGATAGGGATCTCTTTGGGGCCTCTTTTTTAAGGGCACTAATCCCATTGATGGGGGCTCCACCCTCATGACCTAATCACCTTCCAAAGTCTCTGCCTCCAAATACACCACATTGGAGATTAGGCTTCAACATACTAATTTTAGGGAGACAAAAACAGTTGGTTTATTTACTAGCTGATACCATACAAAAGATTTTAGAAGTGCATAGTTATATGCTATGAACAATACTAATTCTATAGGCATGTAGAGAAGGGAGAAATTGATACAGGATAGAAAAGTAAGAGAAGACTTCATGGAAAATGGAACTCAAGCTAGATTTCAAAAGACTCTAAAAAGTTGGCCAAACAGAGAGATCACATATATTGGCACATATGGGTAATTTGATCAAAAAGGAATTGAGCCCTGACTGGTATGGCTCAGTTGGTTGGAGAGTCATCCCATGCACAGAAGGGTCATGGTTCGATTCCAGTCAGGGCACATACCCAGGTTTTGGGTTTGATCCCTGGTTGGGGAACACAAAGGCAACCAATCAATGTTTCTCTATCACATCGATTTCTTTCTCTCTCTCTCCCTCTCCCCCTCTCTCTGAAATCAATTAAGACAAAAGTATTTTTTTTTTAATGGAATTGATGCCTGGATTACCACGATAATTACGTCAGTGGATATTTTGCTTCTAGTATTGTTCCTTTCCTACATTTATACAGTAATAATAATAATACCTGAATAATGAAAATTCACTATGTTTCAACAATATGTGAAGTACTTTTCAGCCATCATCTAATTTCAGCTTCATTATAACCCTTTGAGTGAGGTGCTAATGTCTCCGTTTTATAGATGAGGAAACTAAGATTCTAAGAGTTTTAGTTAATTGCCAAAGGTCTCATAGTTAAAAAGTAGTAGAGGTAAAATTCAAATTTGGTCCTATACTCTCTCTCTCTCTCTCTCTCTCTCTCTCTCTCTCTATATATATATATATATATANGATCAGTGTTTGTGTCTGAGTCTTTTAGACCTGTGTTCATGAGAAAGACCAATCTGTGTAAATGGGTGGGCTTCTTTTAGCTTAGAGCTATGTGCAGATCTGTGGTTGGTGTGAGGCTCCCTGAGGCCCACCTCCACCTGTCAGCTCCTCCGCCCCCCCCAAGGTTGCCTAATCTTCCTCCAGTGCCTTCTGAGGAGAGTCTTTAGGGTCAACCCAGGTTAGCCTAGCTCAGGCAAGTTGCTCCCCTGCTTAGAGGTTATGCAGTCAGGTACTCAATGAAGGCAAATTAGTCTCTACTTCAAAGCCATACTCTTCAGTCTCTATCAGATATCCAACTCTAGTTCCCCCTAGGGGGCTTGCTCAGAGGGATAGATCAAAAGAATCTCCAGATTAGAATGTTGCTGGCCCAGCCTGCAGGAGGGGGCTAAGCACTTCCTCCTGGTTCCATCCTCTGAGGGTCTCACACTTGTAATGTCCTTCTCTGAGCCACTCTTTCATCCCCCACAGAACTGCCCCAGTAGGGGTATCCAGGACTTCACAGAGCTGAACCTGTTGTGGATGGTGTTCACAGCCTGTAGGAGGGCTCTACCTCTCCTTCCTGGGGCTGCCTGGCTAACTCACAGGGAATTTGGATCAGCCTCCCCACCATGCAGTCACAGAGCCTAGCACTCGCCCATCTATCTCCCCAGTAGAAGGTTCCCCACCATGCCGTCACTGAGCCCAGCACTTGCTCGTCTGTCTCCCCATAGAAGCCTTTCCAGGGAATACAGTCCAAAATTTCCGGCTCTGCGTGGAACCAGTGCCCTCACGCCACAGGTCCAAGCAGGAGCGGTTAGAAAATCAGCCCCTTACAGGAGTCCGATCTCTCCACGTGGCTGGTCTCAGCAGAGTGGGGGCTGAAATTCCCAGCTGCACTCGTGCTCCCAACTCTGCAGTGTGGGCCAAAACTCCCAGGCCTGCCCTGCTCCTCTTTGCCACTAACCCCACAGGATTAGCATTCTAAGAGGTTCTACAGGTCAGGGGAGGGGTTCCAACCCCACACTGGAGGTGGGAGATTCCCTTCCCCTTTCCCCAAGTCAACCAGTTCAGTCACTAACTGGGGCTCTGCACAGTGCCTTTCATGAAAATAGAGGGTCCCTCAAAGTCACTTCTGGGTACAGCCCACAGACCCCTCCAATGAACCCAAACACTGCACAGCACAACCTTTCCACCAGTCAGATCCTGAGCGAACTTCTTAGGGTGGGCTGCTAGCAATAGGAGCGCTCCTTCCCTGGGAAGGGATGGGCCCAGCATCCCTCTGGCAGGTGCTTCACAGGCTCTTCTTCCAGTACCTGCTGCTCTAGGTTTGGGACCCCTGTGTGGGGTTGAGACCTCACACTCCCAAGGGGAGGGAGCTTTGTATCCAATATCACTCAACCTCTCAGCCGAGCACCTGCTTCAGGGGGACTCCCCCTCTCTGTGACTCCCCTCCTCTTACAGTCTCTACATTGCTTCTTCAGTGCTCCTTGGATATAATATGTCCAATTAGTTACACTTCTCTCAGTTCTTCAGGTCGATTCCTCAGTATTTTAGCTGTAGATCTTGTCCATGGCTGGGAGCAAAGGCACTCAGCCTCCAGCTATTCTGTAGCCATCTTGCCTCCCCCTGGAATGCATTCTTCATTTTAATTAGTGTATTCTTTTCAGTTATTGTACTCTTTATTTCTGGCTGGTTCTTTTTTGTTTTCTATCTTTATTTTTCCTGTTGTAGTCGATCTTTGATTGCTGTTGGCACGTCAGTAGGAGGGATTTTACCCCCATTCTGATCGGCTGCGAGGACTGGCCACAACCATCATAGAGGATATGCTGGGCAGGGGCTGACCCAATGGAGCAAGATTCACTTCAGTGGGGCTCTGATGCCTGCTGAGTTTACCCCTTGAGTGTGTCACTCGTGGAGATTTTTGGGTTATGCTTTGGTGTGGTCTGAAGCTGTCCCCTGGGTGAGCTGACTCTGTGGCCTCCTGGTAGGTGCAGGCCAATGTCAGCTGCTGCCTGCACCGTACCCAGCATGAGCTACAAAGTGTTTTCCAGATGGTTGCCACTTGTGCTGGGCTTGGAGGTGCCAGGGAGAGGCCAAGGTGTGAACTGAGGCCACTGCTGCTAATGCTGGGCCTGGGGCCTCTTAGCAGGAAGTACAGGGCATGCTGAGGCCAGATGCTGTGTGTTTGAGGTTTGTGAACCTTTGACAGAATTTAGGAAAGTCTGCAGCATAAGCCTAGTTAGGCCAGTTGTATGGAAACAGCACTGGAATTGGCTTGGGTGATCCTGCAAGTTGGGTGGGGCAAGTCTCAGGGAATCACCAGGGCTGGGTGAACAGTGTGAGCCAGGTTGATGGAGACTCAAACATGGGGCCCACCTTCATCTGGAGGGAGAGAGCTCAGCAAAGGAATAATGGTCTCTGCCAGCACTTTTGCCTGGGAGAAAGCTGCCCCTATAGCCCTCGCCCTGATCACCAACAGTTTAGTTCCTCCCTGTACATTTCCGGAGCCTTTCATGCTGCTACCTCAGCACTTGAGCTCAGAGAGGGAGTCAGTCAGTGAGTAAGTTCATGCCTGGCCTTTGAAGAGGAACATCTTGGACTCCAGCAGTCCTCCATCTCACTCAGTCACAATTCCTGCTGGTTTTCATAGCACTGGAACCTGAGCTGGGGGCCTGGTTAGGGGCTGTGACCCCTTGCCCCTCTGAGGGGCCGCTGCAGCTGAGATACCCTCCTGATTTTAACTGTCACGTGTGGGTGTGGGGCCAGCCCAATCTGCTCCTCTGCCCCTCTTACCAGACTCAATGTGGGTTCTTCTCTATATCCTTAGGTATTGGACTTCTGTTTAGCTAATCTTTAGGAGGTCCTCAATGGTGATTGTTTTGTAATTTAGTTGTAATTTTTATGTGGTCGTGGGAAGAGGCAAGGACAGCGTTTTCCTACTCTGCCATGTTGACCGGAAGCTCAAACAGTGCCTATTTCTGAGAGATAAAATCAAGCACAGTCCCTGAGTAATTTGTAGATTTTTATCATAAACTCTGTAGGCATTTTTTTTATACCTTTCTGCCCACAGCCCTATTTCTCAAAGAAAACTAAAGCATGTATGTTTTATTTATGAGGAAGGTTTTCACAATTTTTTTTTCAATCCTCACCCAAGGATATTTTTTTCATTGATATTAGGGAGAGGGGAAGGGGGGAAGAGGGAGGGAGACATCAATGTGGGAGAGAAACATCAATCGGTTGCCTCCTGCATGCGCCCTGACCAGGGATCAAACCCACAATCTTTGGTGTACAGGATGATGCTCCCACCCACTGAGCCACATTGGCCAGGGTCACAATTTTTATTTTTAATAATTTTTTTTTTAATTCTTGTAGCTTTCCAGGATATCTCCAATTAGTTAATAGTAGGTGAAAAAATTCTTAAAATGACTTTAATACTCTTTCTTTCTTAAAATTTATGTGCAACACATTCCTTTGTCTTGTTTAAAACTACTGCAGGTGGGACGCTGAGTGAGAGAGTGCTTTTTCCACAGGTCTCAGCCACCTTTGCAGCCAGTCTGGTCAGCAGCCCGGCCATTGGAGCATACCTCTCAGCCAGATATGGAGACAGCCTCGTTGTGCAAGTGGCCACAGTGGTGGCTCTTCTGGACATCTGCTTCATCTTATTGGCTGTTCCAGAATCTTTCTCAGAGAAAATGAGACCACTCTCCTGGGGAGCTCAGATTTCTTGGAAACAAGCAGACCCTTTTGCGGTAAATAAAAATATGAAAACATTTACTTTTCTAAGTATCTTTCCAAACCATGCAAATAAAAGAACATTTTTGCAACCTCAGGCATCCCAGCAGTTGTTCATCCCATTCCTGTCTCCAGTAAAAATAGAAAGAAATTAATTGCAAGGAAGGGACTGAGGTAGACTGTGTACCAAGGAATATATAGAGTTGATATTTCTTAAGTCGTGATGTAGCTGTCACAACAGGAGAGAGGAAACATGTCCAGTTAATTCTTGATGAGGGAAAGAATTTTTCGCTTTTTGAGTGGTGGTTTTCGTTTCTTTTTTAACAAAACAAATGGAGGTGGTTGTTTGAAGTAGTTCTCATTCACTAAGTTAAAAAGAATGGAAGTGTTTGTTCTGACTAAAGTACTTACTTTCTCAGTTGTTGAAATATATCCATTTAGACCTTGAATTTAGGCTTTGAACTTGTATTTTGCAGATTGAATGGATTCTTTGTTTTCTGTAATTTTTTATTTTTATTTTTGGCATGGGATAGTCCCATTAACAACTCAAAAAAGTACTTAGGAGAAGAGGCTTAGCTCCCCCTCTTGGTTTGAAATTGTTCTTGAAGAAAATATGTGCAGAAAAACATTAACCAGGGATTTGATACTTGCTTTTTCTCTCCCAAGCTTACCTTTTAGGAAAATATGTGTAATAAGAAAACTAACTCGTGAGAAGTTCTTTTGCAGAAAGCCCTTGTGGGGCATGACCTGGGGACCCGGCCCATACTATATCTGCCCCATCCATTTGTGCCATCTGGAGAAAGTAGGAAACCGGGCATATACCCGGGATTCGGTCAGGCCTCCCACCTACTTTGTCGACCTGGTTGCTGGCAAATTGAATACTAACATTTTAAAGAATAGAGTGAATTTATGTGTAATGAAATGCCTATCCTTTCTGTGGCTTTAAAGTTATATTATGAATGAAAAAGAGAGATGAATTTTTCTTAAAAGGTCCTGGAGTAACATGTTTCCAGTATGTTTTTTAGGATGTTCAGGGTCTGTGTCAGGATGTGAACTAGTATTGTTAAGTAAAGATGGGCAAACGTGTGTGTCTGTACGCACTACGCATAATATTTGAGGCACATACTTCTGAGATTTCGATTTGTAACGTCCACAGAGAGATGGTGATAGATTTAATGTTAATCCCTTCAACTGTTACCTGCCTTAATAGATGGTAGCAGTGAAGGCAGTGTCGCAGAATAGCAATGACATTAGTTTCTATTTGCTTCTTTTTAGTTTTCAATTACAGTTGTCATACAATATTATATTAGTGTCAGGTGTACACCCCCTGATTATAGAACTAAGTGACCGTCCTGATAAATCTCTGCCCCATCTGACACCGTGCACAGTTGTTAGAATATTATCGACTCTTCCCAAGCTGTATGTTCCTTTATCTCTTTCTGCTTTTTCCTAGTCACTGAAGAAAGTTGGAAAAGATTCTACCGTGTTACTAATCTGCATCACCGTGTTTCTTTCCTACCTTCCTGAAGCTGGACAGTATTCAAGTTTTTTTCTCTATCTCAGGCAGGTGAGTAGTGGATGCCTAGTAGCTTTTGAACACAAGGAAAATCAAAGATTGGTATCTGTCAGAGGTATTTTGGGAAAACAGGGTAGAAGGAAAAAAATGTGTGAACTTGCTTCAAGTTATAAATGTAGGTGCTGACATGTAATTAGGAGGCAGGAAGGAACCCTTTCACACAATGATGTTTTAAAATAGAGTGAAATGTTTACTGTGGAAAAAATTTTCTCGAGAATTATACAGAAAGAATTAGCAGAAACAGAATTTATCATAATGTTTTAAATCTTCAATAACATCCATTAAATTTTGCAGAGAGGGAAAGCTGACTTCAGAAGTACCTGCCAGCTTGCTGAGCCCCTTCTGAGGCCACCCTTCAGTGCTGCTGTGGGCTCCACGGTGGCTTGCAAGCAATAATCAAAATAACATTTTTTCTCTTCTGATTTATTTCCTCTTTAAAAATTTATACTTTGCTTTATTCCCCCCAAAGGCAATTGACTTAAGACAATTTTTTTTTAAAGTTCCTTTTGCCAGAAATTGTTTCAGGCTCTGGGATTGCTGAGACTTGAGTTGCCTTCCATTATAATCCTGCCTTGGTCTTTTTTTTGGTCCTCACCTGAGGATATTTTTTCCATTGCTTTTTAAGGGGGGGGGCGGGGGTATGGAGAGAGAGAGAGAAACATCGATGTGAGAGAGAGACACATCAATCGGTTGCCTCCCGCACGAGCCTCAACTAGGGCTGAGGATCGAGCCTGCAACCAAGGCATGTGCCCTTGCCAAAATCGAACCCAGGACCCTTCATTCAGTTCAAGGGCCGATGCTCTAACCACTGAGCCAGTCTGGCTAGGGCCTGCCTTGGTATTTTACTGATTTCACTGGAAGTCCTATTGGTTTATTCAACTTTGGCAGAGCAGCCCTCTTAAGATAAATCCCTCTATTTTGAACATATTTTCAAATGAAATTTGTTAAATTTGCCTTTCTCATAGTTTTCCTGAGGTTGTGACACTAATACTTTACATGGTGGCATGAAAGTAAAACTTTTTTCAAGCAGTTCTATTTTGTTTTGCTCATTTTTGGTGGGTGGAAGCTAGAGATTTAGAGGGAAGAGTGGTGGCAATTAAATTATGCATTAAACAAAATATGCATTTAATGTAGGAAAAATGGGAAAGCCCAAAGAAGAAAGTGAAAAATCATATCCCTTCACATGTATAATAAACAACTGAATAATTTTTTCTCTCCTTTGTTCCTATACATATGCTTATGTCACCATCACCACCACCAATAATTACAGCAGACCAGAATTGTTCTGTTATTTTGTATTTGTGCTTGCTTTAAAGAAGCTAACACACACATTTTAATTAAAGTGGCACCTGACCCTTGTAAATCATGCATCTGATAAGGAGCCCGCATCCAGTGTGTGTAGAACTTCTTTAATCCTCACCCAAGGATATGTTTTTATTGATTTTAGAGAGAGGGGAAGGGAGAGAGGGAGAGAAACATTGATGGGAGAGAAACAACAATCAGCTGCCCCCTGTACGCACCAGACCGGGGACTGGACTCGAAACCTCTTGGTACACGGGACGATGCTCTAGCGACTGAGCCACCCGACCAGAGCCATGTGTAGAACTCTTAACTCAGTGACGAAAAGACAGCTAACTCAGCTGAAAACTGGACAAAGGATTTTAAATAGCTACTTCTCCAAGGAAGATATGCAAATGGCCAATAAACACACCAAAAGTTGCTTCACATCAGTAGCCATCAAGGAAATGCAAATCGAAACAACGAGATACCACTTTACACCTGCTGAGGTGGCTTTAATCAAGAAGATGACAAGGCTATGGAGCAGCGGGAATCTTCATAATCTAGTGGGAATGTAAAATGGTGTAGCCACTGTGCGAAGGAGTCTGGGAGGTCCTCAAAGTGTTCGTCGTAGGCTTCCTATCAAATCTAGACTTAGGTATATAGCCAAGAGAAATGGAAAAAGCATGTCTATACAGAAACTATGCAAATTATTATTCATAACAGCCTAAAAGTAGAAACAACCCAAATGTCTATCGACTCATTAAATGGATCAAGGCATGTGGCATATCAATACAATGGAATGTTATTACTTGGCAATAAAAAGCAATGAAGCACTGATAACACAACAACATGAGTGAACTTTGAAAACATGCTAAATGGAAGAAGCCAGGACCATATACTGTACGACACCATTTGCATGAAATGCTCAGAATAAACAAATCCATAGAGACAGGAAGCAGATTTCTGGCTGGGTGGAGGCGTAGGCCAGGAGAACGGGGTGTTTCTTTGAGGAGTGATGAGATCTTCTAAAATTGATTGTGATATCACTGTCCAACTCTGAATATATAAAACCATTGAATTGTACGCTTATAATGGGGGAATTGTGTAGCATTTATGTTCTATCTCAATAGAACTTTAAAAATATGCTCATTTACAAATGTAGGCAGAGAAATAATACTTAAAACCACATTTTTGGTTTCTAATTTTTTAAAACTCAAATATGATTAGCAACTAATAGAATATTGTTAATGTTAGCAGCACTGATGTTGGAAACGGGATCTAGCGCACTTGTGTGACGTGAAGGAGGCAGTCGCTTATGAAATAAGGGTGCATAATGTCCTCAATAATTGTTTCCCTTTCTTTCTCATGCGTTCTCTTTTGTCTGCTTATACTTGCTTCTTTGCTCTTTAAAGTAATTTTGTTAAACTGTGAAGGAACTGGTTTTGTTTTTTCCATCAGCTTATTGGCTGCAAATTTCAGTGCCTACCCTGGAGATTACCTCTTGTGTCTATGATACATTGACCTCTAATGAAGTAATACTATTGGCATTTCCTACTTTATTTAAGGACCTTTGACTCTCTTAATCATCCTGAGTTATATGCGGTTGGCAAAAGTAGGTTTCAGTTGTACAAATACATAATACAATAATTAATAAATAATAATACATCAATAAACTCTGTTTTGCATACTCACAACTGTAAGTACTTTTGCCCACCACTGTATGTTCTTGTCAAGTAATTTCTGTGTCGTTTTTTTTTGAGATTCTTTTTTTTTTTTTTAATATATCTTTATTGATTTAAGAGAGAGGGAAGGGGAGAGAGATAGGTCAATGATAAGAGAGTCATTGATCGGCTGCCTTCTGCATGCCCCTCACCAGGGATCAAGCCCCAGCCCGGGCATGTGCCCTGACCAGGAATTGAACCTCCATCTCCGGGACCATAGGTCGATGCTCAACTGCTGAGCCACGCCGGCCGGGCTGTGTCATTATATTTTAACTCTTAACAAATGTGCATATAATTGTTTTATATAATTAATGTTCTTTTAGATATATTTACATATTTACCATTTCTTTTTATTTTTTATATATCTTTATTGATTTCAGGGAGGGGAGAGGGAGAGAGAGAGGTAGAACCATCAATGTTGAGAGAGTCATTGGTCAGCTGCCTCCTGCACTCCCCCAACTGGGGATCAAGCCTGCAACTCGGGCATATGCCCTGACTGGGAATCAAACCCCAATCACCTGGATCCTAGGTTGACGCTCAACCACTGAGCCACCCCCAGCCGGGTTGGTCCTATACTCTTAATTGCCAACCTACACTATCAACAATGTATTTGGGAATATAGTTATAACATCCCCTAGGACAGGAAGTCAAAATAAGACCCAAATGAAGAAAGAAAATGATCTTCTTCCCCTGAATGGGCAAATAGGGACAGTATGGCAAAAGTGGTGGATGAGTCAAAAGATTTTCATTGAAATCCTGGGTGTACCACCAGCTAGGTATAACTTTAGGTGATTTATATTGATTCTCTGAGCCTCAATTTTCTCAACTGGGAAATAAGAGAAAATATTTCCTACTTCATAAGGCTGTTGTGAAGATTAAATGAAATGCCATAAATTTAAATATTTTTCAGCAGAGGGAAGATGGCGGCACTGTGAGAAGAAGCAGAGTGCCCTAGCTCCCAGCCACAGACTCAATTTACTCCTAAAATACTATAGATCCAACTTGGAAAAACCAGAGAAACATATCCGAGTGGACATATTGCAAGTAGGGAGCACTGAAGAAACATCATAGAGTCCAATAAGAGAGGGAGAGCTATAGAAAGGGGGAGTCCCCTCTGAAGCCTGTGCTGGCCTCCGAGCCCCAAGGCTTGGAGGCTGCAAAGTTCCCACCCCTTGGGAGTGTGGATCGGCATCCAAAAGTGGGGAACTCACACTCAGAGCAGAGAGGAAGGAGTGCCCTGCGCAGAGTGCAGAGGGATCCAGGGGAGCTGTGAGTCCATGAGGAGGGGATGGTACCTTCCTAGTGAAACAAAGCTTCTAATGGTGGCTGCAACTGGTGTCTTATGCTCAGGGTGCTAACCATAGGAAAGGCTGTCCCAAAGTGTGTGGCACCTGAGTAGTAAGGGACCAGAGGTGTGCACTGAGCAGCCACATACAGGGACCCTCTGCCTTCCTGTAAGGCATTGCATTGAGCCCCAGAAAGCATTGAATCTGTGTGGCATGAGAAAGGAGAGGAGAGCCCTCCCTCCCTGAGCTCCTGGTAGGGAAAATCTGGGATTTTGGACCAGCCCTGGAGGTCACAGTGGTGGTGTACGTGGAGCCGCCCCAGCTTTACTGAGATCTGCAGTGCAGGGGAGCTGGGTGGAGCTGACTTTGGGTCCCCTCATGCTGGGGGCCTTGGCTTGCAGGCAGCGGGAACTTGCAGGGCGGACTCTGCTTGTGTGTTGCTTTGTGCATTTTTGAGTTCTTGATCGCTGAAACAGTTCCCACCTTCCTGGCTTGCACTGGGTAGACAGACCAGCAGAAGCTGGGATTTGTGTCCGCACAGTAGACTGTTTGAGGCATGGCGCAACTGGTGCAACCAGCCAACCAGATCTGGAAAGGGAGGGGCGACGGAGCATGCCTGCCTCTCCTGCAGCTTAGAAGCACCACCCCCAACAGGAAAGGGGTTGGTTCAGCTCACTGAGGCTCCAGATATTCCCTGAAGGGCACAGTCCTGAGGGAAGGGAGAACAACTCACAGGAGGACATTACAAGAATAAGACACTAAGGGACTGTTGTTTGTGAACAGGAGGAAAAGCTGAAAACCCCTGCTGGGGGCAGGACAGGCAAAGGGTTTACTAGAATGCTTTTTAATCGATCCTATTGAGCCCAGGCTGCTGAAATGGCCCATACAGGCTGAAATCAATCTGAAACTGCAGCAGGCCAGTGCATGGGGAACTAGAATCGGGGGATAAGGTAAAGACTGAGAAGCTGGCTGTGGAGCAGAGATTAACTCCCTCACAGTGAGTGCTTGACAGCAAAACCTCTAAGTAAGGGAAGTGATACCCTGAGCTACACTAGCCAGCCTGCACGCTAAAGACTGTACAAAAGACTCTGGAGTAAGACCAGGCAACTACAAGTTTGCAAAATAGCTGACAAGAGGAGGTGGTCCACGGAGAGCCTCAGATCAACCATCTACCTAAGGACACCAAAGCCAAACCTAGACAGCTCCTCACATTGGCTGATACACAAGTACCTGTCTCTTATACACATCTAGATGTGTATAAGAGACAGNCCTCACATTGGCTGATACACAAGTACCTCCTAGGAGAACGGAAATCAGCACAAAAACAGTGAGCCTCAAACAACATAAGCTGCCCAAAAGAAACTCACATGATTGTCTTCTTTTTCTTTTCTCTTTTTGCCTTAGAAAAAAGGGAAAAGGAGGGGAAAATATTGTTATTTTTCTTCTTTTTAAATTTTACAATTTTTTTTTAATTTTTAAAAATTTTAATTAATTTTTTTCCTTAAAGAATTTTGTTTTGCTTACTTGTTTTTTGTTTTGTTTATTTGTTTTGTTTTGTTTTCCTGGCTTCTACTATCAAGACTTTCTTGATATTCCCTGCTTAATTCCTAGGACTTTATCATTTTAACCATCAAGTTTACTGCTTTTCTCTATAGTTTCCCCCAAATCTCTTATTGAACTCCCTCCCTGCCCAGGCTTTATCTCTTTCTCTCTCTCCTCTCAATCCATTGGCATAACTTTTTTCTCTCCTTTCTTCTTTTTCTTTTTATTCTTTCCTTTGTTTTCCTCCCTTCTGTCTTCCTGTCTTTTTGTTAGATTGTTAGTTTCTCTTATTCTCTTTACTGAATTTTTATTTTTTTTTCATTTTCAACTATTATCCTATTCCTATTCTCTCCCTTAATTTTTTGCTGGCCCTTCTTTGAGAATCTTTTTTCTGCCTCTATTATCTCCCAGTAGCTTCTCTATTTTTTACATTTTAGTTTATTATTATTTTCTAAGTTTTTGTCAGTATTAACAACAATATACTTTTCTCTCTCTAAGCTTTGGTTTTCTTTCTCTCTTTCTTTTTTTTTACTTTTTTTTTCCCCTCTAGAATTTGTGTTCTCCCTTCACTCGCTCAGTTCTATTTTCACTTGGGTTGTTTTCATTGTGATTGTCAAGATATTTTGTAACATACTCCTTGTTTCCTGGAAGTTTAGTTGTGTATTGTCCTGCCTTGCCAGCATCTGTACAACAGCTTACACAATGAGGTTGGGGCTGAGACACAGTTAGTCAACTTGAGAGGAGGGTCCTCCCAAGGACTGGTCAACAACAATCTAGACCCAACCACAGCAAGAGAACATAAAGAAACCACAAAAGGGACACCCACAAAAGGGACACACCTAGAGCAAAGAGTTCAGAAATATAAGGAAAACACACCTCTGGGCTCCACTGGACTCACAAGAGAAAACCCCACCCCACAAGACTGGGAGATAGCAAATATATCTAATATATAGATACAAACACTAAGACCTACCAAAATGGGGAGACAAAAAAACAACCCCCAAATTAAAGAAAAGGAAAATTCACCAGAAAAAGTCCTTGATGAGATGGAGTTAAGCAAGCTATCAGAAACAGAGTTCAGAGTGTTGATTATGAAGATGTTCAAGAAACTTAATGAGAAAAACAAGGCAATAGAGGATAAGATCTTGGACCTTAGGGAAAACATGAAAAGAGAGATACAGAACATAAACAAAAATCAGATAGAAATAAAGAATGCTGTATCTGATATCAAGAATACACTGGAAGGAATTAAAAGCAGGCTCAATGAAGCAGAAGATAGAATAAATGACTTAGAAGACAAAGTAAAAAAAATTAATCAATCAGTGCAGCAAAAAGAAAAAACATTTAAAAGCATGAGGACAGTCTAAGGGAGATTTGGGACAACATGAAGCGAAACAACTTTCACATTATAGGAATACCAGAGGGGGAGGAAAGAGAGCAAGAGATAGAGAACTTGGTGGAGGAAATAACGACAGAAAACTCCCTTAGGCTGGCAAGGGAGAAAGCCACACAAGTTCGGGAAGCACAGAGGGTTCCAAACAAGAGGGACCAAAGAGATACACTCCAAGACACATCATAATTAAAATGGCAAATATCAACAACAAAGAGAAAATATTAAGGGCTGCAAGAGAGAGACAAGCAGTGACCTACAAGGGAACCCCCATAAGGCTGACAGCTGATTTCCCAACAGAAATTCTTCAGGCCAGAAGGAAGTGGCATGAAGTTCTCAAAGTAATAAAAAGCAAGAACATGCAACCAAGATTGCTTTATCCAGCAAGGCTATCATTTAACACTGAAGGTGAAATAAAGAGTATCCTAGACAGAAAAAGGCTAAAGGAGTTCAGTACCACCAAACAAGCATTGCAGGAAATGCTAAAAGGAATGCTCTAAGAAAAAGAAAGAATATTGAAAGGTACATCAGCATAAAGGGGAAAAATGGCATTAAATAAGTTTATATCAATAGTAACCTTAAATGTAAATGGAATAAATGGTCCAATCAAGAGACATAGAGGAGCTGAATGGATAAGAAAACAGGACCCAAATATATGCTGTCTACAAGAGACCCACCTGAGAGCAAAAGACTCACACAGTCTAAAAGTGAAGGGATGGAATAAAATATTCCATGCAAATGAAAACGAAAAGAAAGTTGGAGTAGCAATACTCATTTCTGACAAAATAGACTTCAAAATAATGACCATAACAAGAGACAAAGATGGTCACTAC